GAGTGGCGCAGTCTGGAGGCAATGTGCATTTGCAGGAAGTGGAGCGGTTTGGGTAGAGAGGCATTGGCAGGGAGTGGAGGAGGCAGGGTGGGGGTGCATTGGCAGGGAGTGGAGCAGTCTGGTCAGGGGTGCAATGGCAGGAAGTGGAGCAGTTTGGGTGGAGTGTGCAGTGGCATGAAGTAGAGCGGTCTGGGTGGAGGTGCGTTTGGTGGAGCAACCTTGGCAGAGGTGCTTTGGCAAGGAGTGGAGCAGTCTTGGTGGAGTGTTCATTGGCAGGGAGTGGAGAGGTCTGGGTGAGATGCATTGTTAGGAAGTGGAGTGACCTGGACAGCAGTTCATTGGAAGGGACTGGAACGGTCTGGGCGGGTTGCATTGGCAAGGAGTAGAGCTTTTAGGTGGGATAGGGAAAGGGTTAGAAGAGCAGGCATTGACCATTAAAGAAGAAGAAGTGGGAAGTGGAAGAGGAGAAGAGTACAGCATGTTACGACATAAGAACTCCTCCGTCTCGGTAGCTAGTGCATGTGCCCCATGTCTCCGGGTGAGTCCCTTGGTCTTTCTGCTCATACACTTTACACAAACACTTTAGGAATTATCACAAATCAAGGGTGCCTACAGAGCCAAGGGTTCTGCAGGGACCCCCAAATAGTTGTAATGTTGCATTATTGATGTGCCTCTCAGGCCTCCCTCTCTCTACTCCTGGCATCCCATACAGAGTGAGGTTAAAATTCAGAAATGTCTAAAGATCAAAGCATAGTGCCAAATGATGCATGTAGGGTATGGGGCCTAGTCCCTGACACCTAGCTTAAAGGAGAACTATGGGGTCAGGGCTTTTCTCCATAGTGCTCCTTAGTGTAACGGGAGGACACAAACTAGTGTCCTCCCGTCACCCTAGGCTCAGTATATAGGGAGCTACACCTCCCGGTATACTGAGGCAACGCAGCTGAAGCAGATCCCGACAATTATGTCTGGGTGAGTGACAGCTGGCTCTGCCTCTAGATAGGCAGAGCCAGCTGTCACTCACCCAGACATAATTGTCGGGATCTGCTTCAGCTGCGTTGCCTCAGTATACCGGGAGGTGTAGCTCCCTATATACTGAGCCTAGGGTGACGGGAGGACACTAGTTTGTGTCCTCCCGTTACACTAAGGAGAACTATGGAGAAAAGCCCTGACCCCATAGTTCTCCTTTAAAGAGTCAGTTAAGCATCATGGCATTGTTGTAGATATTTGCTTCTTTCTATTTTGTAGATAGTTGTTTTGGGCTTGTCAATGTCCTTCGTGAAACTCATAGAAGGGACTATCTTTACTGATCAGCCTCATGCTGCAGGTCACTATGCCTTCTTACCAAAGATCAAACTCAACGTACTGTTGCCATAGACAGACTGGATGTTTGGCCTTACCACAATTTTCCCTGCAGAAGTTCCGGCCTTCCCCAACAACACTAAAGAAAAGCATTTTTATTTCTGTCTTATTATTAGTGTTGAAGAGTTCCTTCTCTTTCTGTCTGGTAATACGTTGTCAGCAGGTCAAAAGGTCCCATGTCCAGGAACTGATATGGAGGTGAATCTGGTCTCCTCATGTTGAGTTTGCCATCCTGGGAGCAGAAAACTGAAACTCAGGACCACGTTGTCGTCAGGCATTTTGGCCCACCCTCCTAAGGTCTCCTTTATAGGTAGTTTCATGGGTAGCAATATGCAGAATGAATACACTATTACCCAGACTAGTGTCCTCCAACACAGTGGCGGACCTAATAACCAAAGGGCCCTGGTGCAAGATTTTATCTTGGACCGCCCTCCCAAGAGGGGACTATCAAAGGTTGTGACTACGTTAGAATGTGTGACCGGCGACATGGTCACACGTTTTAACGTAATCCCGCCCAGTTTTTCGGCGGTGGAATGTGTGACCACCAATAGGTGAAGCATTCCAGCTCTTTCCCAGCTGTACCAGGGCAGAACAGCATCGCAAATCGCATGTGCAGGAGAACCGATCTGCCCTTCAACAGCTGATCGGTCCTGAAATGTCACTTCTTTCCGACTGCAATCTCACATTCCACCGCACTCACAAAGTCGGAGAGAAGTGACATTTCAGGACCGATCAGCTGTTCCAGGGCAGATTGGTTCTCCTACACATAAGATTTGCGATGCCGATCTGCCCTGGAACAGCGGAGAAAGCGTTGTAATGCTTAACCTATTCCACCGCCGAAAAACTGGGCGAGATTACGTTAAAATGCGTGACCACGTCACTGGTCACACATTCTAACGTAGTCTCAAACTTGGATAGAACAGAGGCCTGTCTGTAATCATTTAATCAGAGAAATAGATTATAATAGGGAACATTACAGTGTAATATTCCCCATTATAATCCACATGTCTAATTACAGTACATGAAAAAGAGCAGTACACAACCCCTCATCTCTCATCTACCAAGAAACTCCTCTCCTGGGCTGCACTGGCTAGCAGACATCTGGGTTCACCCTGGTAGAGAGAGAAGCATTGCTGTATCTATTAACTCAGTATGAGTTCCTCTCTGGGGTCATCACACAGGCAGAACTCTGGAGAAAACAAAAAAATGGTAACAGTGTTCTCAAAGGAGAAGACACTGTGAGAGATGGTTACTAAACAGACCGAGACCTTTTTCTTGTAAAAGTATAAACTTTATTGGTTACAAAATCTCATATTTTTCGCACCTGTTACTCCATTTCTATAGCAAAATCTACATATAAAAAACAACGTTGTCCATAACATTCATACAAGCATTCTTCCATACATACTATGCACTCACACAGATTACGGCAATTACTATCTTCAAAACTTCTAAAGAGGGAATTCTCCCAATGTAACTTTTAGGCCCTCTCGGGGTCGACCGTTACACTAGCTCCATTGGTCCCACACAGGTCTCCCCCTTGCAATAGATCTAACACCAAGAGGAACTTCATTTCACTGGGAAAGTTTGAATGACTTTTTGCAACAAAGTAATTGAGACTTTTTAAAACTAATTCACTCATCGAAAGGGTTGAAATATTGAGACCAGAGCATATATATATGAAGATAGTGGACTGTTTTTGCCTCAAATTGTACTGATTATAGAGAACTGTATTTTTTACATCTTCAAAGAGGGGAAAAAAAAGTACCGAGAGGGCCTAAAAGTTACATTGGGAGAATTCCCTCTTTAGAAGTTTTGAAGATAGTAATTGCTGTAATCTGTGTGAGTGCATAGTATGTATGGAAGAATGCTTGTATGAATGTTATGGACAACGTTGTTTTTTATATGTAGATTTTGCTATAGAAATGGAGTAACTGGTGCGAAAAATATGAGATTTTGTAACCAATAAAGTTTATACTTTTACAAGAAAAAGGTCTCGGTCTGTTTAGTAACCATCTCTCACAGTGTCTTCTCCTTTGAGAACACTGTTACCATTTTTTTGTGCTCATTAACTCTGGTTACATGACCTAGACGACCTACTACAATTCATATAAAGGGATATATATGGTATATCGGAGCTCCAGGGTACCAAACACATTTTTTTCTAGAACTCTGGAGAGATTCTCAGCTGCGCCGTACTGGAGTTGCTGCAACATGATGAGGAAACTACCTGGAAGGTATTACAGAATGGTTGGTGCCCAACTAGGTGACAACCAACACAGGATGGTTTATGATGGCCTTGGTGTTGCCCGAGGCGGAATCCTCCCCTGCTCACTGCTTGTCCTGGCTCATGTCAGGTTTTGTAGCGGCTGGCCTGAAAGTGATATTGGGAACTTCATCAGGGATATCTCATAATTAAAGTTCATAAAATTCAGTGGATGATTACGTAGCGCCCTCTATTATGTCGCTACTAAATCTAGTGTATATGTGGACTGTAATCAGTATAGATCAGTGGTTCTCAACCTTTCTAGGGCCGGGACCCCTTGGTACCATTTGCCAAGTTGTGGTGACCCCCAAACGTAAAATTTAGTGATGCACCAATACTAGTACCTGTGTGGGCTCTCAGGAGGCTCTGCGGGCTCTCAGTTGGTTAGTGGGACTCTCTGGTGGCATCCAGTGCGTGCTCTGTGGTGCCCAGTGTGGGCTCTGTGGTGCCCAGTGCGTGCTCTGTGGTGGCCAGTGTGGGCTCTGTGGTGCCCAGTGCGGGCTCTGTGGTGATCAAGCACTCACCTCACCTCACTCCTGCCTGCTCCCCTCTCTCTGATCCTCTCCGGCCACTGCTGCTTCAGGGCCATCTAGGAGAACGGACACTGCTGCGCTAGGAGGAGGCTGAGGAGCCTCTTACCTGGAGCAGCACATGGGGACCCCCTCAACTGTGGGTTGCGACCCACTTTTGGGTCGCGACCCACAGGTTGAGAACCACTGGTCTAGATGCTGTTTGGCTCTGAGTTCTGCGTCCTACAGGTTTCCCTGAGTTTGCTGGATTGATTGCTTCCCCCTGTTGCTGGGTTGAGGACTCAGCATACAGTGAGGGAGGATCCATCCTCAGGCTGTGACTGTGCGCCTGACTCTAGCCAATCCCTGAGCAGGCTGACTCAGAGGTGTGGCTGAAGGCAGGTGATAAAAGGTTTAGGGACATTTTCCAGAACCCAGGGGCCCTCCATGGGAGGAGGTCTGTGTGATAGAAGATGCCTGGCCTAGGACTCTGGTGCTGGGGGCCTAGAGGCCTAACATACTGCAGATACCTGGCATGGGTCTCAGCACGTGGCAGATGCTGAAATTCTACTGAATATCTGGTATGCGCCTCAGCAAGTGGCAAATGCTGAGGGCCTAGAGGCCGAAGATTCTACTGAATATCTGGTATGCGCCTCAGCGAGTGGCATATGCTGGGGGCCCAGAGACTTCAAATGCTGCTGAAAGGAAACCTGATGGAAGCCGGGCTTGAGGTGGAATCTGCTTTTTGAGGAGTGTCGCAGAGGAGCTGGTGAGAGCTACCGTCTGGAACCCTGTAAGAGATCCCTCACCCTATTCTCAGGCACTTTTACTGAAGAGCAGCCAGCTGTTGCATGAGAAGTCTAGAGATAGTTCTCTCTCAAGGTCCTGGACTACCCTGGCTGTCCTCTGTGCTGTTTCTATTACTGGTCGCTCTTAAAGGACCATTGTGCTACTGATACAAGCCGTTGCTACTGGAGAATACAGAGTCCTCTGAATTATTACCCGGGTATCCTAGAATCCCAAACCCTCTCTCCTAGTTGATCCTGTACAATAATTGCTAAAAAGACCCTACGACTCGAGCCCGTTCTGTCCCGGAGTGTCGGTGTTGCTGGATCTGGAAAGGGGCCGGTGGGAGAGCCCAAGTTCATATTCAGCGGCTCCTTCGGGGGTGAGCGCTACAATTAAATCAACAGTTCATTTAGAACTAAGATATAGGACTTTATGGGTGAAACATCTCTGTAACTCCAAATTCATGCAATTCTACATAACTGAATAAAAAGAGAAAGCGAGACCAGTGGCGTAACAATCGCCATAGTGACCCAGGCGGCCGCTATGGGGCCCTGTGATTTCTAGTTACGCCCCTGAGCGAGACCAATATGAAAGGATGGACAAGTGCCATGTATCGGTCTGAGGTAAAGAAAAAAACTTGTAACCAAAGTAGGCCGTATTCAGACATCTTGCTGGTCTAGACACAACTGAATGGCGACTCCCACCCCCGGTTTCGTTGTTTGGAGGCACTAATGAGGGCAGCACGGAACCTCTTGCACTCCTTACCTGTCCGCCTCCTCTTCCTCCATGCTCGCTGATGGGCCCCCGCCTCCTCCTCCGTCGCTGGGCCCGTCTCCTTCTCCGTCACCGGGCCCCGCCTCCTTCTCCGTCACCAGGCCCCGCCTCCTCCTCCACTGCCGGGTCCGGCCTCCTCCACCGCTGCTGCTGGCTCTCATTGACTCAGCAGCGGCTCTAGAGACAAACACGCTGCTGCACAGATTACGGCCAGTGATCTGAACAGCAATGCATTCTTCTTCAGAGCCGCTAGTGAAAGCCGCCAGCAGAGGATGCCAGGCGGTCCGCTCGCCATCTGGCCGGGCCCCCCTGTGTCCCGGGCCCCATAGCGGCCGCATGGGTCGCTATGGCGATTGTTACGCCACTGCCTGCTATAGGTTCTACAGATATACATTGCTAAGTGCATGGATTACTCTGTATCCATCACGGGGGTTCTCCTGTGTTTCTGGGCCTCATTGCAATCGCATGGCTTACTATGACTGCAGTTACACCACCCCCAACCCTTGAAAGAATAAATGCAAATCAACATGATACTCGACATAAACAATAATCATCACCATGCGCGGCTCCATAATGCTGCTTTCCACCGACATTACATTGAATCACAAAAAGATACAAAAGTCTATGTGCACTCTGACCCGAGATGACAACAGCCGAGAAGAAAGAACAAAAAGCAGCAAGGGTGTCGCTATGAAATTGTTGCGCCACTTTGTCCTTGTCTAATGATTGTTCTCCTGCGTAGTCACCCTGTCAGCCCTTTGTTCAAGTGAAACTCAAACACTCTACACAGCAATTCTTTTTTGGAGGATATACAGGAGAGAGAGAGCGTGAGGAGAGACAGCCAGGAAAATGAGCAAGGAGAGTCAGCCAGGAGAGAGAGAGGAGAGACAGCCA